TTCTAAAATATAGATCAAAACGGCACCAAACCCGTCTCTTTATTCATAATTCCACACCCAAAAAAAATCATTTCTTGTACCCTGCGTTCTGTCTAAGACAAGACAACCCCTTTTATCACTGATGCTTCCTGAACTCCTCCCTACCTTACACTAGACACCGCGTTATTATTATTAATCACTCGCTACACTTTTAAATACCCGTACTCTTAACGGCTTGTTTTTTTAAAATTCACCCATTATACACAACACAACTCATTCATAAAAGATTCAATCGCCGCCTTCGTCTCACGTGACTTTGTGACGTAATGAAAATCACCGCTAGGCCGCGCCGCGGTTATGTCTATTTATAGCATGACCGATTTATGACGTATTCGCGTGGTTTATTTTTTCTCTCTATTTAACAGTGCAACACATTCGTGTGTGTTCGGAACAACATAGATTTAGGGCCCAAAATAACAGCGGGCTTTAAGTAAATAGAGTTAATCTAGCCATCTTGAATGGCTCGAAAACATCGCAGCTATAATACGGACACTTGGGTAGTGACCTTGAAAACTAAGAGGTATAGAAAAACAATCCTTAAGCCTTTTCAGTTAATTCAATATTTTAAATTAAATATCAATCTACTTGATTTATAAATTAAGTAAAACGCTTTTAATACATATATTCATCGTGGTCTTTTATTTTTTCGAAATCAAAGAGATACATTAAAGTTTACGTTAATATAATATGTTAATTTATCAAGAAAATTTGCAAGATTGTATTGGCCTTATGCCAAAGTGGTCTTATGATCTTCCTAATCGCCTGCTAAGATGGGCGGGAAAAAGGTATGCTTATACCTTCTAGATATCAAGCAGGACATTTAAACCGTATTTTATATTGAGTAAAAATCGAACGGACATACGAAGCCGATAGACCCACGAAATCGTTTCGTTTAGATGGAGTACAGTCGACCTGTAGTCACGTGACAAGAATCAGCCTACAAGTGTGTATGGACAGCGGACAGTACTAATGCCAAGAATGTCGTTTGGACTTTGGCCAGCCTTGACATTGTCTATGTGAAAAACGCGGGTTCATAAACGCGCGATTGATTCAGGTTTTTTTTCCTACTGATGCAGTTATAGTAGAACCACCACTTGTCTTGGGATTGTTGTTGGTGGTGGTGGGGGGGGGGGGGGGGGGGGCGAACCTTATGCTTACCAACAAAAGGTAACTAATCTTTTGATTATTAGTTATTATTAAAAAAAATATATTTTACATGGCCTAAGCTATTCTGTTGATAACACTTCTGAATGTAAATTTGTAAAGCTATTGGTAAAATTTCAGAAGGGACATGTTGGCCTAGTTTCCCTCAACCCTTAAATAATTAGAAAAAAAAATATTGAATTGAATTAGTATATACTTAACAATTGTCCGAACACATCTGAAACTCTGAATATATAACACAACCATAACATTAAACCCAGCGCACTGAAAATCTCAACAAGGAAAGAAGATAGGAAGATTTGGAGCAAAAATAATCAGGATTATCCCTTTATCCCAAGCTTACTGTGTACCAGAAGCCGGTAGATGATTCACAGCTATAATATTTTGTTTCAGTGGCGTAGGCAAAGGGGGGGGGGGGGTAGAGAGGGTTATAACCCCTCCCATGGACCCACATCCATATATATATATATATATATATATATATATATATATATATATATATATATATATATATATATATATATATATATATATATATATATATATATATATATATATATACATTTATATTTATGCATTTATACATATGGAAAAATGTTTGAACCCCTCCCATGACAAATCCCTGGCTACGCCACTATTTTGTTTTACATATAGGCTAGTAAAGGCGTCGCTATAAAACTGTAATTATAAAAACTAAATGAACAGCTATAAACGTATTACAATGACATCTATTTCTTTAACTGCAGTGTGCTCTGTTTAGTTTACGAGTGTAATGAGCGAGCATTGATTTGTATCCATGGCGTCACGGGGCGGGGCGTGGGGAGCTCTGGGGTGACACCATTTATTGGGGACACCACGACGAAAAAATCATAAAAATTTAACGTCGAAACAATGTTTTATCAGTTTAAAACAACAAAACAGCAGGGGGGGGGGGGGGGTGGCGGGAAAGGTGACACTAAATCGAAAATGCAAAATTATTGGAGAGGGGTGGGTCTTCTTTTAAAAAAATCTCATTTAAAACACAAATTCCATTCGAATTTTTTCTAGACCTCTTTATAATTTGTAGAGAAATCTGTTTTAAAACGTATTTGTTTCTACTAATTTAGGATAGTGAATTTTTTTTTCTAATTTGTTATACTTTTGGCGTGGAGAGGAGTTGATGCGGCTGTAACTTTAATAGATACGATTGTTAACTTTGTTTAAATGATTATTTTAAAATTTTCAATACATGGCCTTGCACATGCCTTCTTGCGTGCTTCTTGTTTTAAAAAACAACAATTTTCATTGGATCGTTTTTAAAGTGCAGCCCTTTGTTTCCTCTCGCGTGTGAAAAAAAACCTACTTTATAATTTAACAGAAATCAATAAGGCTATAATCATATAATCTCCCCCGATCTAGAATTTAAAGAACAGAAAAATATCGAAAGATAAAAGAAAGAAGAATAAATTATAATAATCATAATTAATAATCATTTATAACTATGCGAACCTACTTTAAATGCATTACCAATCAAGAAATTTAATGTGTTGGTTTAATGTGGTTTAAGCTTATTATGTTAATTTCTTAGGTCTTAGGGTGTGTGAGAGATTTCGTATACAAAGCGCAAACGAGATAATTTTGACTTGCCTTAATCCTCTTTAATCCTTGTGGAGCATAGGTCATCAACCATAACCTTTCATTTTGTCCGGACTCCGTCTCCAGGTCTGTCGTGGGCCGTGGGCGCCATCTCTTTCGTTTTTCCTTGGGAGTTCCAATCTAGCGCCTGGCGTGTCACATGAGTTCGCCCTTTCACAGTGGGTCCCACCCATTTGTACTGTCATGAGCGTGTCCGTCTGCATAGGTTTATGTTGGACACTTTGTCCTGCCACCTCAATTTCACAACCTGAAAGAGTTAAATCTTAACACCATCCTATCTGTAAACTAAACTTTACGTAAGGGTGGACAATGGCGGTTACTTGAGGGCGGGAGGGCGTCATTTTTCTGTATTTCTGTCTTAATAAAATTTTACCTGCACAAAAATAGACTTCATAAAGTCCAACCCTATCCCGAAATTGCACCTATAACAGAAGCCCAACCATGTGCCCACATTACATCTACACATAAAATTCAACTTTAGGAGTAAGCTCATGGGAAATCAAAATGTGATACTATTTAGGCTCGAATCAATGCCCAATTTTTAAGATCCCAATCATTTAATCAACGATGTAATTACATTACAAGGATAACATCAAGTATTCTTTTCTTCCTAATTTAACTTGAAGACCTACATTTCGCCAATAGCTAGAATAATTTACATTAACTTATTCAGTTTTACTTTTCTAATTCCGCACAATTAATTTAACACTGTCTCTCTCTCTCTCTTGCCCCCTCCCCCCCCCCCCCCCCCCAACACACACCATCCCCTTACTTTATTCACAACGGTGTTTTCAGTATTTTCACTGACTCTATGCGCCAACTAATGCAAAGAAGGGGGGAAAAAAGCGCTGGCAAGTCGCCAAGTAGTTGCCCGCCATTTTGATACGTTCCGCGATCTCTTGCATTTATTTTTTAGGCTCGCCTGCCGTATGCAGTGTGCAGCCATGTTGAATTTTTCCCCAGCCTTAGTTTAGAAATCGTTCTGCAGCCATCGTTAAAACGTACGGCTGGTGGTAGAGACTGAAGAACATTTAAAAAAAAAAAGTTCTTGGCGTTTTATGGCGGTAACTTCTAGTTGTAGCACTAGCCGAGCACACATTACACAAGCGTGTAGATCTAACTCTTCTGTGCTATGACCTGCTGACTTTAAAATACTATAATGTGAAAATCTCCTAAATGTTTTTTTTTTGTTCTGTAGTAGTGCAAATAACATATTTTAAAAAAAAATAGTTCTCATTCTTGATTTATAACAGCGATGTTTAATAATACAATTTAAATAAATAAAAAAAAAACCAACAACAACACAACAGTCATTGTGTCGTGGGAAAAAAAGCAACACAACCAGACATACTCTACTTCGACATGACCTAGAGAACCTTAACAAACTAACAAGTCTATTTTCAGCAGCTTAAAAAACGCGTATGCTCAATTATTTAGTCTATCTCAAAGACAAATGGCTTACAGATGGTGTTGTGCAACTTATCTTAACTTTTTTTCTAGTCGATATTTTATTTGGGCCAAAGACTATCCCAAAATAGCCTGACCATTTGAATTACTTTAAACGGATTAAGTAGTATTATTGATAACATGAAAAAGGGATTAGCTTTTACTTTCTCATTAAAGGGAGTATTGTAATCGTGCAATAAAAATTGTAAATCGATTTCCACTAAATAATATGACAAATCCAAGTATAATTTAATTAGTTTGTATTTGCCTATTATTCTGCTTGCGCATTTTTTTCTGGGATACAACAGGTACACAAAAGTCAAGGGAGCTCACTCCCGCTTTTATCTCTTACACCATAGAGGGAAGACCAGAGTAAAGAGTAGGCATCCACCAGAGATGGGAAGACCAATGTCAACAAACTCAACTCTGAGCTTGTGATAAACATTAGAGCTTCATTTTCAAGTTATAAAACATGGTTGTTTAGGCCCCATCCTTCTTGTATTTTTTTAAAATTTTGCATGCACTTTGTTTCACAGCCAGCATTTTTAAATAGTCTGAGCCCGTTTTCAATCTTGATTTCAGCATCTTGATACACACAGTATCCATTTACACAATTAACTAATTTATAGGGCTCTGACAACCTACACAAATCAAGAGTTTGCACCATCTTGACAACACACAAACAAGAGCACACAAGAATTGTATAAAAAGAGGTATACTTTTATGGTACTTTCACTTTAATTTTCTAAACAGCTGTACATAGAGGCAGGAGACCAAACCAATACAAGTGTTTTAAAATAACTGAGGCTGATCACCACTGGGTATTATGGCCATCAAGTTTTCTTTTAACTTATACACTGACAATATTTAAATTATTATGATATGATGAATTTGTATGGTATCATTCACTTAATTCCATTGACAAAATGATTGATTAAAAAAACAAAAAGGCAAACTATTCCTGTGAGGTGGATACCAGCAGATGTTGAAGTTACAAACCAAGACATTATTCACAGAATAAATATTAAGAGTATAATCATTATGAGCAGAAAAGATGAGGTTTTTTTTATACAAACACAAGAAAAAAAACAACCCTTCTCTAAATGATGCTTTTAAATATAGATGAAAAATTTAAATGGTAAACTGTTAACTATTCATATTATAAAACAAGAGGAACAAAATGTAATCTTTTATGTTGAAACAAAATAACCTGCACTTTAACAATTGAAAACACTTCAAATAAAAATTTTCTGAATATATATATATTATATACAAAATTTGTTTACAAAAAGAAAACCCCACAAGAATAATATGCAAAAGGAGCACAATTTTATATGGAGCATTTTGACAACATTAAAAAATAACTTTAATGTATGCAATACATATATTTTTAGCACTTAGAAAGGTCACAGACAGTTTGGATTGAAACACAAACATTCATGGTGTGGAAACCACATTGTAACAGTTGAAAATATTTCTTTTCAATATACCCAGGTTTTGGTGCAATGAATAGGTATCCGAAGAAAAAAATGAATTGAGGTTTAGTTTTTGTTGCCAACAAATTTGAACATATGAAACATTAGATGTAGTAAAGAATTTGAGTCTACAAAATTGAGAAATGGTAAAAAAGATATGGGGTGAAGATGGTCATGATTATACCAAGAGCTAGAAACAAAAATGGTTATTTGAATGAGTTAATGTTTCTTGTTAAAATTTATCAATAGATGAAAATAAATTAAATCCTTGTTTTTTTAATAAAAGAATTATAAAGATTTGAATCATTTCTCCAGTTATTGCTTTATTTGAAAAATGCTTTAGATACTTTCCAAAATAAACAATAAATTGAAATCAGGCAGAAATATAATCTTGTTTCTTTTGAGATGAGCTTAACAATTGAATGTCCAAGTCCTTTAAACAGCAGAAGGTTTTTGGAGACCAAGGTCAACTGTAAGTGGGCTGGAACAAACAGCCCCAGATGCATTACAACTGACCAACAGCCTGTTGCAAATTAAATACAGATGTATCACTTGAGTACTAACTTTTAATTAATTCTCAACCAACTAACCAGTCCAACATTATTGATCTCCTACTCAGCAATGAAACAAGTGAAGGAGACAAGACATGTAAAGAGAAGCTGAGTTTCTGTAAACATGTTTAGCAAAGTCTGTTGCCTGGTTCTGTAGTTAGTGCATTGTTTTGGGACAGTGTGGATTTGTCAAAAGGCATGCAACTAATTGCACAAGTAACCCAAGGAGCTCAAATGGTGAGAGACAGAAAATGCATCTCAAAACGAGTTATCAAATGTGGAAAAAGGCACTATAACAAATAGTACATGAACATGAGGTAGCAACAAAACCTTGCCAACATTTCCTTTCTAGTTTTTTTTTCTTTAAAAGGTTTTTGAGAACAAGAAAATAAATTACTTGAAAGATTCATAATATGGAGAAATTAAAAAAGCACTTTGGGAAATTTTCTGTTTAAGTAAATGAGTGGGGAGGAGACATGAAAGGAAGAAATAACTTGAACAGTGGTGCAGTTTCTAGCCAGCTTACGTTAAGAATAACTGATTTTAATGATGCCATTTTTGTCACAAAGAATGGTTAGCCATGAACAAAGCAGCGTGTATGTGTGTACATTGTTTTTTTAAGTTTATCTTTCAGTTTTCAATTCACATTTACAAAAAATTTTTTTTATTCATTCTCCTGGCAAACCTCAAACTATTTCATGCAAAACAGAAGAAAGTTTAATAAGTTAAGATGGTATTAAAAGTGTTTAAAAGCTTTAAAATGACTGAAACAATGATGAGAACAACCAATCACTGCCATCTCATACCAGTACACCACAGAATGTTTGCTGTGTTTTTAGTAGTCTGACAAAATTATTTAAGTGGTTAAAAATAATATAAACAGTTTTAGTAAAAGACTTAGCTGATTCATACCATTACACAGCAATACCTTTTGCTAAGAGATTTTTAACAAGGTGACAAAAATACCAGTTGTATAATGCTGAAACATGTACCAGTCATTTATAACCTCAACTTGATACAGCTTGATAAAAAATCATTGCAGCTTTATTGCAGTTCAAAATAAATGTTACATTTTTTACATCAGAATTTATTAAAATTAACACTAGTTGAATGCTTTTTTTAGAGTCTGAAATTAGAGCAAATGTTTTCAATGTAAGTAGAATCCCAAGATAATTTAAAACATTTTTCTTGTACCAGTTTTTTTTTTTTTTTAATTTAGAAATTAGAGTTGTTAGTATTGCTTTTTAGGATATAAATCTGAATCAGTAATAATTATTGATAATATAGAACTACTGTAGCTAAGGTGTTATCAATTATAAAAAGTCTGTCCATATTAAGTCAGAGCAGTAGTGCTGCATATTTCATGAACCATGATAATATTTTTTTAACATTCGAATCATTATTTTAACAACTGCAGATGTCACTATTGAGTCTATTTTCTAAAGAGTTTAACAATAGCTACTGATGAGATGAAATAGTCGTATTATAAGAAAAGCAAACCAATACAAAATGTGGTAGAAGGAAGCTCACTTGCAATATATAAAACTAAAACCCTATAAAGAATATGGTATATTTGAAGTAGCAGGTCAATATTGCCCATATCTTTTTACTACATCAGCAAGCAAGAAAAAAAAATTGCTCAAGCTTTGTGAGCAAAAATTTTAACTGCCTTTGTGTGTGTGTGTGATCTTTAAACATGAACATTCAACCACTGCAATTAAAGCAGCATACAGTTTGAAGATAAAACTATGGCCATCAGCTTACTTATGTAGTTTTCTTATAAATAAGCAGTGAGATACACCCTTTGAATGAACTGTGAGTTCTTATATAGAAACAAAAATTAAAATATTGACATACATTTTAAAACTATCTTTAACAGATAGCTTACAAATGTTCTCCAATAAACATGAAATACTATCAACTGTTAAGTTAAAAAAAATTAAAAATGATGACAAATATAATAGAATTGGTAGTTACTAAACTTTTTTTTATTCACAACTGTAAAACAGTTCATAAATCAGAAAAAATGTTTTATTTAGCAGTAGATTCATTTTATTATTTAAAAGTGTTAATAAAAGCTGCTTTGCAAAATTCAAATCATACAAAAGTAAGTAGCTATTAGAATAGTTTGAGCTAATCTACGATATTTACAAGTAATATAGTATGCACTGAAAATTTTTGTTTTAAAAACGACAAAACAGAAATCTCTGTTAGTAAATCAGGGACATTTTTCTCCACATACATTAGTGAAATGTATTCAAAATGAATGATCGGTACCGGTATATATTCTTATTAAAAAGTAGAAGTTTGATAATCCTTATTATGTTATCTGATACATGACAAATACAAATCCTTTTCTTCTTCAACTGTAAACTAATTCCAAAAAAAGCTCAGAAATGTGTAAAGTGTTTATGAAAAAAAAAACACATTTTTTGTTAATTCTTTTAACAGTTATCACATATTTTTTAAGACTGAACTAGAATATGTGGAAAAAAAAATATTTTTTACAGATGAAGATGAGCAACAACCATTACATTAATTACAAATGATTATAATTTCAACAGCAACAAATTCCATTATATCCTTCTGCCTCTTGCCATATCACAAAACAAGATTTAATTATCAATGACATAAAGCTAAATTTACAGCCAATACAAAATGCACAAAATGAATGTACTGATAAAATTTAAAACTATTGTCTCTTTAAAAATGAAAAGTAACCTCATTCAAAAATAAATCACATCTGATTTTTAAAAATAAAATAAAAAGGAACAAAAAATTATTTGGGTACATCACGAACAATAGTATCTCCTGTTCAAACAAAGGACATAAGGATTATATACAATAATATAGGTTAGAAAAAAAATTTGCTTTCTAAGCATAATTTAGTGTGGAAATAAACCAATTCACAGCAAAAGGTTATGAATTTAACTATACATTAAGTAGGATTTTAAAATCTAAACTTAAAAAACAAAGAACTTAACCGAGTCACTAATTAAGTGTTCTTAGCATGCAATTGCAAATAATATACAGTTGAAGTCCATATGCCAGGCATAAAAACTTACTTAACTATACTTTTTCTAAAATGATCAGTACCTATTGTAAATTATAGATTTGCAATAAAAAAGAACAAAAAGAAATAAGCTCAAGTAATGGAGAGAGAAAAGCTTAAATTGATTGAAAAATTATGAAATAAAAATTCTGGCATTTTCTTTGCTGTAAAAAAAATTTGATTACAAAACAAAATTGATTTTAAAAAGAAAAGATAAATTCAATACACAGCCAAAATAAAAACCATCTACAAGCTGATATAAGGGATAAAAATGTATATATTTTAGTTTTAATTTCTCAAATATTCCACTTTAAGAATGTTGTAGTTTTATCAATATGATGATAAAAGTTTTACGGCAATAGAGGGTTTAATAGCGTATCACAATCTTAGTAACAAATATGTGGTCAAACTATAAAATCCAACAATCCATTATCGCAGGATAAAATAGAAACCACAGCAACAGCTTGTTAATGTAGCTGGTAATGGGGTAAAAACTGAGGCATTGATGTTAACTACAGGCAGATTATGTTAATTTTTAAGTTTTGGAGGTAAGTTTCAAATTAAAGTTTTTTATCTCTTCTCTTTTAACTTATGGTGTTGTTTATAAAATAGTCATTCAACTGACATAGGTATTTATATACAAAATAACAAACCACTGTAAATTTAGAATTACCATACCTCAGTGTGTTGTGAAAACAAACTAGCATCAACTTGGGTTATGTCACTGTATTTTTAACAGTTTGTTTTATGCAGTTCATAACGTTTTCAAATTATAATCATGCCACCTTACCAATGAGATTAAGCATATCCAATCGAGATAGAGAGCACAGGAACTGGTGACATTAGTAGCACACTTATCACCGAATAAACAATCCAGAAATTACATTTAACGAAACAAAAAAAAAACAACAGTTCCTTAATAACGACATCAGAATTGTGTGTAAAGGATCTCTGTACAAGTATCCAAATCAACATGAAATGAATCCATGTCACATAATTTTTTTTAAAATTCCTCACTGACCAACACTTTGTACCATTTCAAATGTTTTAAAATTGTACATGAAAATTTTGTACAAAAAGTATCACATACTTGAATAACACATTCCTCTTTACAAAACACAAACAAAAAAATCCAGCAAGAGAATCTACAATGTCAAGTTATAGCAGCTGAAAAACCACAATGTTAGCATCTGAACACAAACACTTAATGCACTACATTTTGTCCAATAGATGAATTGGGCCCAGCATCAAAATTAAAATCTAAGCTTCCTTCAAGTGATAGTTCCTGTTTTATGACCTCGTTCATGTCGTAGTCCAGTCCACACATAACATCTGCATCAATGTCCAGTGGCGGAACTCCAATACCATTACTATTAATAAGAATATTATCAGCGTAGTTTTCATTAATCACACGTAGGTGACCATTCAAAGGGTGATGAGAACCAACATTATTAGAGAGATGGTTCATTCTGGCTCCAATAAGACCATTGCTCATATTGCTTGTATTTGAATTAGATCTGGAAGGTGAGTGGTTGTTCAACGTAATGTAGGTGGGAGATGAATTGGTTGTGTTTGGGGTAGACCTAAAAGCAGAACCCCCTTTGGTAAGGGCTAAGCGCAGTATAGAAGCCTGCTCTGACGTGGTGATGGGCTGCTGGTGTTGTGGAACAATATGTCTGTTTTGCTGAGGTGAGACCTGACAATTGAGCATGTTCATTGAGTGTTGTCCATTGACAAGCCTCGCCTGAGGCTGTGGGCTGAGGTGTGTGTTGTAGGAGCCATTATTGGGACTGCCCTGCTGAGATCGTTCTGGAGAGTTAAGCTGCTGTGTATTTACAGACAGCGTCCCTGATGTTGTCATGTGCACTGGAGAAAGTTCTTCTACCTCAAGCTTTATTTTAGTAAGGGAGTCAGAATATTCATCATTCAACTCATTCTGCAGAAAATTTGGAGGACCATTGTTGACTGGGCTTGGCCTACACTGCAGGTGTAAATTATTGTTATAGTTCTGCCTTTGGTAGTCAATGCCATTCATTGGCTGCTGTTTAGGATAAGGTGGTGGCGCTGGTAGATGTGTGTACTGATTCTCCATGCCAGATGATGGGTCAACATTACCATAAGAGTCCCTTGATCCCCCTGAAATGTAGGGGTCTCTCAGTCCAGGCACCATGTCCTGATTAGACAGTTTCATACCATCTACCACAAGATCTACTAGATCAGAATAGCTTTCTCCAGTAGGATACAGTGGTGAGTTGCTGACATCCTGATCCCACATGGGTGGACCTTGGTTGTCATCAACATCAGGCTCAACAGCAGATTGTATTGGAGTCAAACGACCACAGCTACTTGCATTTGAACTGGCCCTCTGCCTGAAATCTCCATAGTTTGTTATATTTATATATTCAAGGTTGTCATCACTTATGCCAGGAGAGAGGGTCCCTCCATTTTCTGCAGCTCTCAATGCTTCTATCTTCTTTCGAACTCGCCCTCGCTTTTTCTCAAAACTCTTAGTCTCCATACTTCCTGCTCTCCTTCTGGGTGTTTTGCCAGGCTTAGCATCAGGGTTCAGAACCCACCATGAACTTTTGCCAGTGCCTTCATTTTGAATACGCATGAAACGACTATGCAGGGAAAGATTATGTCTGATAGAGTTCTGAAACAAAAAAAAAAGTAAACAAATTAAGACTTTTGTAAGAAAGTGTAAAAATTATGATCACTATGCTACCATCTAATTATTTACACAGCCAAGATTAAATAATCTTTATCATCATCAGTTTTAACTAACACAGTAAAAGACTGCCAAGATATACACACTAGACATTGCAACAGTAAGTAATATTTATGGGTACCTTTAGACTTTATGGTTTATTATCAAACAATAATTTACTGAACATATATGATAACCCTTGACAATGAATTCACATCTCCTATACTTTAAAGTTTACATGGAAAAATACTAAAACTTGAAAATGCCTAATAATTGTTGCTATGAAAGAACTATATTATTCATCATCCAATAAAATGCTCTTAACTATAACTAGATGTGATGTTGATTACAAACTAAGTAAATAACAATCTTTATAAAAAAAAAGCAGGCATAGCACCAAAAACTTAATTCAGATTACACAGCTAAGATGAAAAAGAAACCCCTTCCTGAGCCTCACTTCATTTCCATACCCAAAAATAGAATATGCCTCTGTACTTTAACAAAAATCAATATGTATTGCATTCACAATACCAGTAGGGCGTTACATTAATTACAAATGTTAAGAGCTCTTTTCCTAACTATAGGCTGATCAAACATTTAGTAAGTAGCAAACTCAATGCAAACATAAAAGCTGACTATCTTAATCTGATTAAAAATGAACATTCACCATGACCCACTTCTGCACAGAGTGACAGGTTTAGCTTTGGCAAGGGGCCAAAACCTTATGCTGTAACCCCTGCTAATAGTACAAGTTGGTTCTGTGCCCCATCCCTGTTTTCATATAGTACACCTAACAAGCTAAAAATAAATCAAGCACCTATACTGCCAAATAAAATATAATAAAACTATTCAAACTTTGAATTAAAGTACATAGATCTCTATATGATGAAATCCTGCAAAGAGGTTTAAACGTATTCCTTTTAATTATTTATACATTTTAAAAATTAAAAACAAGTCTGAAGATGCAGAAAACGTGCCTAACCTTAAACCATTAATAATTATAAATAGGTCTAATTTGAAACCTGAGTAGGGATTGAGGATACCAACAATTGAGTTAATTCAAATAAGATACAACTTAGATCTAATACAGGGCATGCATGCAACGTTTAAGCATTGAAGCATTATTTGTAGAGGAACATTTGATTCTAATAAAGGCGCAGCAGGCATTACATTAACTTAGTATAATAACATATTTCAATAATGGGTAAACAGAGCAACATTGCCATCTCAAACAACCAGAAATCAGCATCCTGATTTTAAGAACTATTTTACTACTATAACTGTAGTTTTACACCAAAAATGTTCTCACAATACCAAATCTAGATTATAAACCAAATTAATGGTTTCAATACTATAGTTAGCCAATAGCAGTGTATCTACATTGTAACCTAACCACTAGAGCAGTAAAGGAGATATTAAGACCAAGACCAGTAAAATGACTTGCCTGATACATTTTTGTTTTACGTTAAGCTATAACAACTTAATAATAGATCTAGAAAATAGATCTTATGTAACTCTAGGTCTTGTGTTTCATGGATTTTTTTTTTATTGAAGAGAAGATAGAGCCTTTTATAGGCCTACCAATATGAATACACCAGACCAATAGTCTAAATAATCAAAATTAATAGCGGGGTAACTAGATTTAGATCTAGTAACAATATGTATAAAAGGCCCAATTAAATTATGAGTGAGAATAGGCTTAGATCTCTATATAGATCTAGTATAGATCTATATATTAGATACTAGATGTATTAGTTATGTGAGTGAAAAGGCATTATTGTCCTCATAATTTACTAAAATAAAATGCTGTTGATAACTTTGCTGTTAAGAGATAAGAGGTCCAGTGAACACTGGTAATAATTTGTTAAATTATTAAGTTAGGTCCTATTGATTAGTACCATAACCAAAAGACCAACATTAGGTGATGATTGTCACATTGACATTGTGAGGGCAACTAAACAAGATCCTAAAATATTAAATATTTTAGATAGGCTTAGGCCAGCTTCTTCCAGCCCCCCCCCCAACGAGATGGAATTTATAGGCCCTATAGAAAATATAGGCCTATATAGTATAGATCTACTATTAACAGTGCCCCCCCCCATTTAGTCTATGAATAATGTCTAGTCTAAAAAGTGCAAGAAAAAAATGCAAACCTTCCATCCAGCAGAACTGGTGCTATCCCCCTTGTCTTTGAAATACGGCACGTTCTGAACCATCCAGTCATATATTTGTGATAGTGTCAATCGTTTTTCGGGGGAACTTTGAATTGCTTTTGTAATAAGGTCGGCATATGACAAGTTTCCCCAAGCATTTCTACGGGAGCCGCTTTTCTTAGCAGTTAATCCGAGAGGATCTTTAGCACCGTTATGTTGGTCTATTCCGTTACATCCATCATCTGCCCCAGGACTGCTCTGGGATTCTAATTCCCGAGAAGGTCTCAGGGGCCATGTATTAGAACGAGCTCTTGTTTGGGGTTCAAAGTTTGGGTCGAAATCAATTTCTATTTCATTATTTGCGTCCATTTTGAGGCCCTCGTATCCTTTTGCCTCGGCAAAGACTTTCACTAGCAATGACAGTTTGGTTTTAAAGTTGTAACACCACTAATCAAAATGAAATATCCAATACTGAAACAACACTTGCACGGTAATAATGATCCAGAAATTATGTGTACCACTCACATACTTAGCTTGTGTAAGAAATAAAGCAGTTACGGCTAATACGTGTGCATCCCGTACAACTGCACTACTACTAAAAGCAGTGAGAGCACCTTCGCGTATGACGTTATTTGTTGTCACGGGTGATTTGCATAGACATGTGCCACTGGCGCACGCACGTGCGCAGTGGTTTGTTGCGCAGTCGAAATGAAAACTTCCGTACAATATGGGGTTCTGACGAGGTTATTGTTTAAACAAAATATACATGGGGACCTATTATAAAAAGTATTAGATCTATGGGTTTCGCTGTAATAAGAGTTAATTTTAAAGTAATATTAGCCAATGTAACACGTATGAAAATTATTGATGAGATAATTAACAATTAATATAGATCTATAATCTTGATAATACAAGCTGTTGGTTAGTCTGTACAGAACACGAAACGTTAAACTTAAACTGGCCTATAAATAATACAATATAGGAGCTCTATTTTTTGTTGTTTTTCTTTATTATAGCTTGAATACTATACAGCGTTATATTCTTTTGATAAACATGTATTCATTTTTTAAACATCAAGCCTCCTTTTTTTTATAACTATGGTATGAACTAAAGATAAGCGCACATACTCTTCTATTAAAATTATAAAGGTTGATTTGTAAAATGGAACAAATCAAGAACGATAACAAAATAAAACAATCTTTTTAATCGTCAGTCATGGATTACTTCCCTTATAAAATAACTATGTTCAATGACTAAAAACACCGGTGGTGATTGGGATATGCCTAAAAAATAAATCGATAAAGGCATTAACAAATAATACTTATGACAATCCACAAATACATGAATTAATGTTTTATTATTTTTTATAGAATATGTTCAAATATAACAGTTAATATCATTTGTATTAGAAATAAATTAACTTTTCTAGTGTATTACAATATGTGTTTAAATGGATAGCTTAACAATATTTACATTGATTCATTTACATTAACCTAGTATGTTTAAAAAATTATTTTTGTGTCCTAAAACTCAAATATCCATTTTAAAAAGTACAGTAACGCAACAATGTTTAATAAAGTTACCCCCTTTAAAACATTTGCACATTATTTTAGGAGAACTTGGGTAAGCTCAAAAGAGCACCAAGTTGACAGGAGAGAGACAAGAGTTCCAGCATTAAACTAGTTTTGGCTTTGTTTCCAGAATCTTGACAAGAACAGCTGAAATAAAATAGTAATTCTGTGAAGATTTAGTTTATATTACATTTCAATTTTTCTTTATTACTGAATCAGCATTAAAAAGTGATACTTATGTAATCTACAACTGATGGCAGTATTTAATTCCAGAAATTGAATTTTAATAAAAGTATTGATAATCCTTTAGTTCCACTTTTTCCATAATGAAAACTAATAACATGTTTAAGGTGAGGCTCTAAAATAATGGAGAGTAAAAAACAAATTGCAACATTTACTCCTAAATTCACAGTTGACAAAGGAACCCCAAAACCACATTTTTTTAAAAAACAAAAAAAAAGGATAAAAGTAAGAAAAGCAAGAAAATTTTTAAAAATCGTAATTAAAAAACTACTTACTTAATTAGAGAACTCTTCATCTCATCTTAAAATAATAAGAAAAAATTATTGTTACAATGTTAGCAGACTTTCACACAAAACTTGTGCTTGACAATAACTGATAAAAGCATGTCTTAGTACAGACCAAACAATGTCTTATGTATGTCATATTTCTACTATTTCTATTTAAAGACTATCAAAAAACGTAACATGTTATACTTACAATTTGGAATTCTTGAATAATTGTTCTTTAAATGAAAAGATAGAAAAATAATTAATAATCAACAGTAAAAATGAATGTTCTAGGTGTAATTACACATGTTATAAGAAAATATGTTGGTTTTACTAGCCAAGGTATGGTCTACAACTGTATAGGAACATTTAATTCAAACCCAGATGCAATGGAAGGCTTAAGTTGAACCTAGCTATTTAAAACCAGCAGCTTCTGTTCTTTAAAAAACAATGGTCAGGTAATGATTAAAGATGGGTACATGCAATAACTAATGCTACAGATTACCTCATATAGTTCACCAGTAGAATAAGTGGCTGCTGACTGCATGATTCTCTGTATGTGTATCTGTTGCTCTGATAACATTGCGTGCATACTTTCTTGGAATGTTTGCAACTCTGAGTCTAGCTTTTTTCTAAAGTATTCATCTAAAAAAAATACATACATGTTAATTAATATGTTTTTAAAACTGTAAAGTAGGCATACAAGCTGCTACTGCATCAATACTATTTTGTTTGATCGTTATAGTTAGGGAAAACATACTTTGATACAGGAAAATGACAAGATTTGTTGATAAATTACTTAAAACACTGCACAATGATGGCTAAAGTATAACTGTAATAAGTGGGCAAATGTGCAGCCACATTAAAATGTACCATTTATTTCATTTTTAACTAGTAAAACACAATTCATGCAGGTACAAATTTTAAATGAACCTTACTTTTCTCCAACAGTAACCTAGTACTGTGTCACATGACATTGATGTATAATTTAATAAAAATTGTATTGAGGAATTGTGTGGTGTAAAATTAAGTTGTGTTTTTTATGAGAAAACTCAATGAAAAATTGAGAACAATTAGTGTGAGGTAGAGACTTATCTCTGTCTTACCAAACTGACACAGTATAGGATTAAATCCATATTCCTCCAAGTCATCTGATGAAATTACAGTACTAGCATCATCAGGGGAAATGTTCTCAAGTGATAGAACACCCTGACTTGTCTGTGTTCCTTCCAGCTCAACCTGATAGCAATCAGGGAGATAACCCTCTTCACTCCCACCATATCCTATATCACTGTAGGCGCTGGTCATACTCTCTGAGGTTACATCTTCGGGTGTCAGAATCTCATTGTTGACACAGCTGACAACCAAATCTGTCTAAATGAGATTAACAATGCCAACTTTTTATTAGACTGTTGCACAAAGGCACTTTAATATAACAGTACATTCAAAATATTTTAAATGCAGTGTATTTAAAGAAAAAGGTAAAACTAACCTTACTTGATTGATTTTGTGTAGGTGGTAGCATGACATCAAACTTCTGAATGGAATTTAATCTAAAATATATAAATGATGGTTTTGAAAAAACAAACAGACAATTTCAGTTTACCAAAAGCTTTTTTAGTTTAGCACCTTGAGTCCACAGTATGTCTCTGAATCTACATGGCTGACCATACAAGTATTTATGATCTAGCCCAGGGGTCGGCAACCTGCAGCTCATGAGCCGCATGCGGCTCTTTTGATATCAAGATGCGGCTCTCCAGCTCTTTGAACAAATACTAATAATCTTAATAAAAAAATAAAATATTTAAAATAAAAAAAAATGTTAGTGGCTCTTTAAAACCAGGGAAATTTTGAAAATTGTAACTTTTGGCTCTTCAGCTTCAAAAGGTTGCCGACCCCTGATCTAGCCTAAGGTCTTGAATAGGCTACTATTTAATTGGTCTCTTCCCTAAAGATCATTAAATTCCAAAGTGTAATTTAAAATGCCATAAATGACATGAATCTTTTTAAGCTAAAAATTTACCCCCACTTTAATCTCACAAAAAAATGGAATGGAGCGATCAACAAATGGTCGAGCTCACAACTGCTAACCCGGAAGTCAAGAGATTCAAATCCCAGGATTAAGACGACCTTGAGTCCACCCAGCTAAGATTGGTTCCTGAATCGCACAAGTTCTGTGAAACAGATGAACTCTATTTCATCTGTTGCATATGTTTTAGGCCTGAATCGGAAAAGGTAATTGTCACAAAATGGAGAGTAACTACCACCTTCATTCGCGGCGATGTTTTCAATGGTACTGAGCATGCGTGCATTTACAAACTGTACACCCCTAACCCTAATGCTATCACTAACCCTAACCCTAGTGCAGCTATTAAAATCACAGCGCATGTGAAGAACTATTGAGTTTTGTATTTTCTGCTGCAAAATCTTTTTCCGAGTAGTCACTTAGTTTATATAATTAAGAATATTCATAATAATAGGCCCTATGCTATAACTATTACAAGATAGAACTATAATAGTTTAATATTGTTATTATTAAGAAAGGTTCGGCGACTAGGCAATAGCAATGAAACTAGTGATTACTAGTGGGGTTCGGTTCCTGAAAAAGGTAAGTACTACTAAGTAGATCTAGTTTTAGGCCTGCCTCTATCTACCACAGTTCTAAAATCTAGTAAGTACTAGCTACTAGATCTATTTACAATAATTTAGATCAACTACTAATTAGCTTAATCTTCTAGATCTAAAATTCTATACACTAATACATCTAATTTTATTTTTAATAATAGTAATATTATTATTATAATAAATTATAATTAGAGGCCTAATTATGTATTAAATTAATATTAAGACAAGCAAGACTAAGAGAAACAGCCAGTGTTTCTTCCAGACTTTTTTCTCCGGGGGGGGGGGGGGGCACTTGGAATTTGGGGGGGGGGGGGGGCGGTAGACTTTCTTCGGGGGGGGGGGGGGGGCGGACACTGTTAAAAGTATATATCTTCTATATAAATTATATAAATTTCATTTCGTTCGGGGGGGAGGGGGGGGCGATAAAAAAATTTCCGGGCTTTGCCCCCCCCCCCCCCTCCCGAAGAGATCCCTGGAAGAAACTCTGGAAACAGAAAAAGTGTAAAATGATGTAAATATTATTCAAACTAGATCTACTATTAAATTTTTATTACTAGAATCCAGATCTATCTATAGTATAGATTATAGATCTACTATTTATTATAATATTATTATTATTATTATTGTTTCTATTGCAGTAACTCTTAAACTCTTAAGTTAGTAAAGTATTATAAATAATAAATATAAGTTACATTTGTCATTTAGGCCTAACAATATTATTATTTATTATTTAGTTTAGGACAACATAAATTAATTAAAGTAGAGTCTAGATCTAGATCTAGTAGTAAATTACTAAATATCCTAGCCCTAGAATCCAGAACTAGATCTAGATCTAGAAATCTAGATTCAGTAGATTGTACATCAAAGTATAATCGAACAATCAACAGGCCTACAACTACAACACAGCTGTTTTCTTCGTGGTCGATTTTTGCGATTGTGGCCAGAGTGTAATTTGATTAAAAAAATAAAATAAAGCTATTAATGGAAAAAAAATGCTATCAACACAAATATTGAAAATTTATAAATAGCATCTCGACTTCTATTAATGTTTTAATTTAGGGCTAGTTTTATAATTGATATTTAGTAGATAGTTTTTTTTTTACAAAAATCCCTTTATATTTTTTATACTAGGCTAGTAAATCTTTGTAACACCTGGCAATATTTTATAGAATATCGTCTGCTAGCCTTACTTTTAAAAGTTTCTTCTGCTATGTCCAACAAGTTACCCTAGCCTTGACAATTTTTGCCTTAGGGCCTATCACGTTTTAAAGTAAAAACTTTGATTGGTCATTATTTAGACCAGGGGTCTCCAAACTTTTCAGTCCGAGGGCCGCATTAACTATCAAATTTCAGTTCGGGGGCCAGTTTCTTCCAGTCATGTCGTGATTTTTCTGGGCAAAGTTCCTCAGTCAACTCCAACAAACGTTTCTTTCCGTGGACAAAAAGATCTCCGCGGGCCGGATGAGAGGACCTTGCGGGCCGCATCCGGCCCGCGGGCCGTAGTTTGGAGACCCCTGATTTAGACCATTATTAGATCTATCAGGCCAGTAATAATGGTCCATTATTTTCCATTTGTGGCAATTATGAATAAAAAATGTTTTAACCCAACCAACATCAACATTACATCAGTCATCATTTCACTACTTTCAGCACTCAGCAGTTTTAGTTTAGTTAGTAAGTTGCAGTGTTGATCTAGATCTAGAATCTAGATAGACATGATTTTTTAATGATATAGATTTAGATCTAGATCTAGATCTATCAGTATCTAGATCTAGACTCCAGATCTAGAATCTAGATCTAATAAATATAATGAATTTGTTAATTATTGTGATCTATAAAAACTTTCAGAAAAGGCAAAGTTCTACATTCTACTCTACAACTAGATCTAGATCTACAGTTTTTTTAGGTTTTAAGAAGCAAGTTGACAGTCATGGATACTTCTTTGTTTAATGAGAGATCGTCATCACAACTTATTGGTACGTAGATCTAGTGGAAAAACTTAAAAGCTAAAAAATTGCTTTAATTATTTTAACTAAAACAAAAAATAAAATATTAAGAGAATCTAGCTGTTAGAATAGATAGTAAGATACAGACTATCACTTTTAGAATCTTAGATCTAAGTGTAGAATTATATTATAATGTGTAAAAATTTTGCAGTGATAGGATAATTAAATTAAATTTTTTAGTTAGGGGTTGGCATAGTCATGGCTGCTAAACAGATTTCAAACCACTGGGCAGATGAGGCTCAATCGCTAAGGACATAATCTAGATCTAGAATTGAAAACTTCCAAATCAAACAACTGCTGCCTTGTATTTTGTTTCTGGGTGGACAAAAGCTGCGGAAGGAAATCAAGAAAGAAAAGCAGGCTGAAATAGAGTCAACAGGCCATGTCGCATAACGTGTTGACATGTAATACTTAATTGTGTCCAACAAAACAATTAAGAACAAAGGAGAGGAAGAAAAAAGAAATCTTTAATTAAATCTACTTAAAGCTTGCTTTGCCTAATTAAATTTGTTTGCATGTTAATATTTTTGTTAAGCCCAAAGTGATTTTTATCATTTTTTCTTTCTGATGTTACTTACAGCCATGTTAAAAGATATTTGCAATGATAAAATGGAATCTACCTTGACAAGTTCACTGGAAAAAGCTTTACAGCTATCGAATTCTCTGAAAAACATCCTTTGTCTTGATTTACAGGAGAGAACTGAGGTTTATCAGTTTTTGTTTATATAGTTTTATGTAATAACCTTAACATAGTTTAACATATTCTTTTTACCAATATGAATTTTAGATCAGTGGGTTTCAAGGTAAAAATAATTTCAAAGAAAGAAAAAGCTACTTGATATGAAATCAGAACTTCTGGTTAGCTTAATTAAAATAATGTCTTATCACAATTTTTTAAAGTATCTTTCACATTAAATGCCAACTGATTTTTTTTTTTTGCAGTTAGAGCATTATGCAACAAAACTATGGAATAAAGCAGTTGTTCTTAATGCAAAAAAAAATGTTCAAATACATGCTTTTGCAAAGAGTGAGTGGTATTGTTATTAAATTATCATATATAATATATGTGACATAGAAAAATAGTCAGAGTGGAGCAGTGAGTGCACAGCTCCACGTAAGACCAGTGGCAAGTCTCAAATGTAAACATTTTTTAGATAGTTATATGGATCATCATCATCTTTACCCGTTTATTCCAGGCCAGGACACATGGGGCAGATAAAGTAGAGTTCAGGGACCTCGGCATATAAAAGGATTGTGTGGTCAGCACTATGCCCAGCCGCCTTTTCTTTCCCTAACAAGAGTTAGGTACCCATCCGAGCTGGGTGGACTCACTGAGGTTCTGCTGACTTGAACCCGGATTCCAACTTAAGACTTTTGGGTCAGCAACCTAGCCCTCTACCACTAGACCAAGCCGTCCCTCAATTATTTGCACCAGAAGCTCCCTCTATTTAGTAAACCTGTCTGTCCCTGGACATAACACTCCACCATGAGCTGAGTAATTTCACACATCAGAGTAATTTTTTAGTTATTTTGTTAGCAGTAAAGTATGATGTTTTTCATTTCAACTTCAACTATGAATAACATTTTAAGAATTAAACCAATAGGCATTTAGCTATAGTAGATTTAATGTAGATTCTCAAACATTTTATTGTATTTTCATATTTAGTGTGATAGTACAAAGAATATTTTAATTGGAAACAAATTGGAACTCCAAATTCATTTCTAAGACCCTCTCTTAATATTTTATGCTTATCTCAAAATTGTAAGTGGTGCAAAATACTTAAAATGTGGTGGAGGTACACATACCTTATGACCTATCTGAATAATTTTTGTACAATAAAATTGCTATAAAATAAATAAATAATAATATAATGTTTGTAACGTTTTTAATTTTACATGAATAATCAAACATTGTTTCAGTGCGTCAGATCTCTTTTCAAGTTATATCCTTTGTAAGTGAGTCAACTACTGATGTAAGGGACCTAAAGAAGCAAATAGTTGTAAGTTTTCTTGGTATTTAGGCCTATTTTCCCACGTTTTCTTTAACTTGCTTTCGCCTCTGTTTGTTTGTTTGTTTTTCCAATCAAATCTTGCGATCGAAATTTCGGGCACTTCCCAGTTAGCTAGCGCGCTGAAATTTTCAGGGAAGCTTTGTTTCGGATGACAATAGAATATTCAACTGTTATTATTACTAAATTGATCCATGGAAACATTTTATTGATCATGTTATACCCCTATATAATTGTACAAAAAACGTGGGGAAAAAGGGACATAACCCAGTAACTGTAATTTGATGAAAACAAGGTTCGGTACTCTCCCTCTTTTTGCTTACTGAGTATTTGTCACGCGGTGTTTGTCTACAAACAACCAGAACGTAACAACTGGTGGCCAGTATGGGGGAGACGATATGGTCGAGTGGTTGGGCACACGATTGCTAACCCACTCGACACGGGTTCAAATCTATGTGTTCTAGTCAGTAACGTATTCACACAACGTGTTTTTTACGAGTTGTCTTTTTACGAGTTGTCTTCGTTTACCCAAAAAAAAGTGAAAAGATAAAATCGATAGCAAGATTTCAATGCAAACAAACAGACAAAGACTAAAAAGTAGAAAATAATAATCATTAAAAAAGTTTTAAAAAACCCACGTTTTCTGATTGAACTAAAAAGTAGAAAATAAATGCTATACATCACAATAATGCAAGCGATCACTCTACTATAAGCGATGAAAAACGTGGGGCGCCGTGATTTTCTTACAGTTTCTAATACTGTTGACTCTCTACAAGCTCCCTAATAAAAGTCAATAGTATTATCTAATCAATAGTAATATAACTTTTACTTCGGCGCCCCACGTTTTTCATCGCTTATAGTAGAGTGATCGCTTGCATTATTGTGATGTATAGCATTTATTTTCTACTTTTTAGTTCAATCAGAAAACGTGGGTTTTTTAAAACTTTTTTAATGATTATTATTTTTCCTGATTTTTTAAAAGATACTATAATAATCTGTGTTCTGTTTTTAAAAGAATCTTTGAAATAATATGTATTGTATGTTTTATTTTTAGATGGCACTGAAAACAGCCAGAGCTTGGATAGGTAATATGCTATCAAAATATACCCTAAGAATGGTTGAAAGTATTATTTGCTTCTGTACACATACATACTTAAGTCATGTTTTATTTGAAAGCTTAAAAAATGTATCTTTGTGTTAATAGTAGTTCAACTTGTTTTATAAATTTAATATTATGTTTAGTAATTCTTTGTGGCATTTTCAACACATTAAACAAACAAAATGATATCAGCTTTACTAGTTAATTTAGCAGGATTTTTTTTCATAACAAAAAACTGCATGGTCTCTTTTAGACAATATTCCAGTATTTTAACTTTGTACTTATTAAGTAGAGTAAAGTATCTTTTGTTAAATGCCAATGTATGATTCTTCTTTTGAGTATAGATTGTAAGGAAATAGATATGGCAGACAAAGTTCTAAATACTTTTAATTTGGTATGTTTATAAATAATAATTTTATTTTTAATCAGTTTATTTGTATGTTTTATAAATGTTGCAATTTGTTATATAGACTTTAGTTTAGTATGATTTCAAAGAGCTTCAAATATATACAGAATGCAAAATGTTTTCTTTAAAATATTTATAATTTATTGGTAAAAAATGTCTAAGTTCTTGCATAGATAGAGTTTGTTTTGTTTTAATTGCCATATATACTTTTTTCATTTTTAAGTTATTTGAGAAACTACAGCACATTTTGATTGAAAAGAAAAATGCATTACTTTTCTCTGGTGTAGTTGAAAAAGAAAAACATGACCTGGATAAAGACTATTTTTGTTACCAGTGCCTTAAAGTTGAAATGGTAATAATATAATGTGTAACTGTCAAATGGTCCTATGTATTAATCATTTGGCTATGTGGTATTATTTTAGTTTGCTTATGAAGGGGAGTTAACAGTGTTAAAAGTTTCTACATTAAAAAAGTACATTTGTTTGTAGGCACACTATTGTGTCTTATAATGAGCTATTTAAAAAAAAATATATTAATTTAGTAGACACAACTTTTCATTAGAAAATAAAGAGCTCCAAATGAAATACTTGTTCAGTCTGGTTTTACATTACAGATTTCATAATTTTTTATGATAATAAGCAGGCCATATCTACAGGCATGCTGATAAACTTAAAAAGCAATACATTTAATTTAGGTTGAAAAGTGATTTTTTGCAACTTTAAAAATCAGTGTTCTTAGAAACTAATCTGTTGTTAGTTTAATAACATTTTTTTCTAAAATTTTAAAGGTCAGAGTAATTTACTCTACTTCTTAAGATATATGGCATGATGGCTTTTTTTAAAAGTTTGACTTTGTGAGAACAAATTTCAGAGAGTTTTACAGTCTCAACACAAAGAAGCTTTCTTCCTTTTTGAAAAAGCAGAGGAAATGTTAACACAATTTCCTGATGAGGTGAAATTTAAAAAAAAAAATTATCTTTTAATTAATTTAGTTTTTTTTTCTTAAATTAAGTTAGAATTTGCCTACTTTATTTTTTTTTAAACTAAAAGATGAAAAAAAACTTTTAAGATATTTTAGTGTTCAAATTTTAAATTGTTTTTTAAATTTGATATAGGCAGGGTATTTGAGCAAACTCAGTTATAATTTTGGAGTTGACTGTTACCAGGAAAGACTCTTTGAAATGAGCATTACTTGGATTAGAGAAAGTTACAATTTGGGAAAGGATGCTACAAACATAAGCAAACAAATGCAGGTAGAAATATATTTTTTAAACTAAGTTAATATTTAACTGAATATGTGAATGAAGATCACTGTCTGTTAAACTTTATTAATTAAAATTAAACATGCAAATATACATTGGATATAATGAAATATTTTTTTATTATATTTGCAGGCTCAGACTTTACGGTTATTAGCAAACTGTTATATGGAGTGGGGTGGTGAAGGATGGCAGGACAATGCTCTAATTGCAATAGAATTAGCTAATAAAGTATGCTTTTCAAATCATTATAATACTGAGATTACTTTGGTTTAAGTAATAGTGTTTTTATATATGCTGTGGAGTGTTCAATTGGTTGTTGATCTTGTACATATATTAAATTTACGATAAACTCCTTATTAATTCTGTGTTCTTATAAGGGCCTAATGTTATTATTTATTATTTTTCAATTGAATCACTAATCAGCAGTACTGCTTTTCATCTTTCATGTTATAAAATTATACTTATGTGAGAGACAAGACTGCAGTTTCAGAACTTTGTTGACCAAGTTCCATTTAATTACTAATAAATAACATTAAAGAAAATGAATAATGTAGTTTAGAAAATGTCAGTGATGCTTATTGTATTAAAATGTGCGATTTCTCAAGCTACATTTCATGAGATCATGCTTTAAATTTATGTTCCAGTAGCCAAATAGAGTGTCTTGTTTATTATCCTTATTTCATTTAAAAAAATTAATATTGTTTTTATTAGTAAACCATAGACATGCATCAGAAAATATTTTCTAGGAGGATTCCCATGTTGCTGGTATTTACTTAAAGTTTCAGTTGCTTCTGCTTACCCAAAGCTCATTACAAACCATCAAGCAAGGTATCAAATTTTTACCTGTTTTTAGATCTTTTCAAGTTACTTGTAACTCAAATGAGAGTGAAAAAAATTAACTAAATCTACATTTTTCAGCATTGAATGACCTTTTGAATCATCCAGATTCTAATATGGATTTATTACTCAACGCTTTGCAGCTTGAAAAAAAGCAACCTAGGTGTGGTTTTTGTATTTTATTAATGATTTTTTAGGAGTAGGCTTAATTCTTCACCATTCTTCAAAAGTTTCAATTCTGAATACATTCCCATTAAAGCTGTTGTTAAACTTTTAAAAATATAATTACATTTTTAAAATAGCATTGATTTTCAATTTTTAAAATAAAATCGGATGTTGGCTAACAACTGAATTTTTTAATGTTTTCTTTCCTAGTGAGGGTGCTGCATTTGATTTAAGACAAACCATAATTGCAAAGTTTGAGATGAAGCCAGATGTTGGGACGCTTGTTGTAACAATGATGGATTTATTCCTAAAAGAGTCTAATACAGATAAAGCTAAAGCATTCACAGAAGAATGTATAATAGGTAGACATACACTATTTTTTACTCCTAGTTTTTTAAATAGGTATTAAATAAATAAATTAATAAAAAATTACGAAGTTTGTATTGTTGTTAATGATTTAAGTTTTAGTTTGCAATTTATCAGTAATCAGTGTAACTTCAGTACAATAAAACTGTACATATTTTACGCAGCCCATAATTCTGGGCATAGGTATGATGGAGCCACTGTTAAACGCCTTCATATACTATTTTGGGCAAAAGCAGCACAGTTGTATGAGGTAAACAATCTGTTTATATTTCCTAAGTAAATTAGTTATAAAAAAATAATTTTAGTCTTTTATTGGAACTTTTTCTGCTAACTTATTTCTCACAGAATAATAATTTTGCTGAAGCTGTTGTGTGGTATAATTATTCTCTCAGTCTTTACCCATCCATGTCTCAAAGTGAACCAAATCTTGGAAAGCTGCAGAGAAATTTGGCCACATGCTACCTTCATCTAGGGGAAACCTCTAAGGTTGTAAATCATTTCAGCTTTTAGTAATACATTCTACTGTTTTCTTCTCTTAGACCTCCAAGAGAGTTTTGTTTAAACTATTGTTATTGTTCAGACATTGCTAATCATATTGTTCTTGTTTTAAGGCTTTTTCAGCTATTGAGTTGTCAGAGAGATGTGAACCAGATAATGCTCATACTTACTTCTTAATGTTCAAAATTTCTTTGGAGATGGATGACTTGACAAAAAGTTACACTTTTATTTTATTTTTTTATACTTTTTATCTAACCCTTGAATTCTACTACCCAATTTTTTTTATTATAAAATTGAAACTGCTTGATAAATTACTCCCTCTTCATAAACTCATGGAACTGACTAAGGTTCACATTTTATTTACTTGAAAGCTGCTTTAGTGATGACAGTCTTTGTAAAAGAAAAACCATCAAACAAAATTAAATAATTTTCTTTAACATAAAGCGTTAGTATTATTTCATAACTTATTTACTTTAATGATAACAACTTACAAATACTATTTATCTATTGTTATTTAGCTATGGCAAGTTTAAATAAACTTGTTGAGTGTGTATCAAAGAACAAAAATGAAGATTCAAATATTATATGTCTAGCTGCCCATAATGCATTAGAGGTAATCTTTAATACAGCCTTAATCTTTATATTACTGTTTTCAAATTTAATGTTACCCTTTCTGATCAGTAGGCCAGATAAAGTAGAGTACATCAGTTCGTTTGATTTTGGCATATGAAGGGAAAATGTTCAGTTCTATATCTAGTAGTCTTTATTTCCCTGACATGAGTCAGGTACTCAACAGAGCTAAGTGAACTCAGGACGCCTTACAGATTTTAGTCCAGGATCCAAACTCGAGACTTAAGTGTTAGGAGTTGAGCTCTACCAGTTGATCACACCATCACATCAATACTGTTTTACTAACCTAAAGAATAAATTGAACTAAATCTATAATATGAACATTATTTTAACAAAACCATTGCTTACGATTACTACTAATTGTGGTTTTCTAATTTTAGAAAATGTGTTATAAAACAATTTCTCATATGTACTATTTGTTATAAAAATGCATATACACATACATACATACTCAAAAAATGTATGCTATAATAATATCATTTAAACATTCTTTTCAATGTTGTCATATTAGATTACAAAATTCTGTGAGTTTAAACCTTAAATTTTCAGCAAGAAAAACTTGAGTTAGCTATACCAGCTCTAGAGAGTCTAATAGCTCACAGTGTTGATCATAAAGTAGTAATAACTGCTTTAAGATGTCTTCTGCGACTACTTGTTACACAGATGGATGGAAAACAAAGGTAGATAACTACATTTTGGTGTTAAACAAACTTTAATTATTGAATAATTAAAACCACAAATCATGTTTTATGCATGTAAAAATGCCAATTTATTTAGTAAGTTGAACAGTTCAATTTTATTCCACCATTTATTTGTAACATAATTTATAACAATCTACACAGTATTAAGAATGCAGTTGGTCATATTAGAACAGGTTAGTAGCATTATTTTTAGTAGTATTATAAAAATGTTTTGAAAACATTAATTTGAATATCCCTCATTTATTAAACTTTAAATAATTCCTTTACATAATAATGGCTTTCTGTGTTTACTGAAATAACCAGGTTTTCTGTTAAACGAAAACCCCATTTATTTTCAAACTGAATATGTTGCAAATCAAAAAAACACTTTGCTTACCCTGTTGTAATTTAATATAAGCATTTAAATATTCATGTAGTTAACATTTACTTTCAAAATAATGTTTTAGCTTATAACAGACTTGTAGTAGCTCAAAATAAGGGGGACATAGTCTCAGCAGAAGTTCAGGAGGAAGCTTCTTGGTTTATGAAAATTGGTAATTAATGAGTACTTATATAAGAAATGTCAATTTATTTTAGCTTAAAATCCCATGTAGAAGAAAATACATTAATTTCAGTGTTATATTAGCTGCATGGGTATTACATTAAGTGTTCTCAGTTTATGCAAACATTCAGGCAGAATAACAAATAGCTAAAGAATAATTAAAATACTCAGCTAAACAAAATCTGTTATGGTACACATCAAATTTATTTTATTGCATGTTACACTAGCTTAAATTAATTATTTATATATTAAACTAGTTTAAATACAACATAAAGCTAATTATTCTTATATATTCTTCAAATATTCTACAGCTTGGAATTTGGCCTTGAATGCCAAAGATAACTTGTCTCAAATGAAAGAGCTTTTTATTCTCTGTTTTCAGGTGATTTTCCTATTATACATATTTTTTAGATAAATTTTTTATCAACATAGATGAGAATAGTAGGACTACAGTTATGAGTTCTTTCTTGTATTTGTCTCTTGCAAGCAAAAAATGGGAATAATGTCTATCCAAGCAAATTTTTTATTAGTACAGTTCTTATTTTATTTAAGTTAGTTTTTTTTTATATCATTCTGTTTCCTTAAGAATAGCTGCATCTCTGTTGTTGCTTTATTTTGTTTAAGGAGTTACTGATTTTAATTCCAATGTTTCATTATCCCTTTAGCTTGAGCATCTTTAAAAGACAGTTAATAATTTAACTGTTTAAAGTTACAATTAAAAATTTGCTTAAGCACACTTATAATAATTTTCTTACCTTCACCATAAAAGAAAAATTATGCATCCTTCTAATCTAAAAAAATCAATGCCTTGTCTTTATCTATCATATGGCTTTCAAGTGGGATTATCCTGTCCTTAATTTTATTTCAGCTTCTAACATTATGTTCAGCTGATATTGCCAATCATAATCGTAAACAACATTGTTTGCTAATGGCTTGTGCAGCTTGTCTAACATTATCAAGAGACGAGGACAACAAACCACAACAAACTGTAAGTGATACATTTTTAAAAATTCTAACATTTTTATTATTTCCGTAATAAAATGAAATGTAAGTACTTCACAATTTTAAAAATACCATTTTCATTTTATTTCCATTTGCTGTCATAGATTACATTTTTAATGCATTATCCTTAGGATTTTCTTGAGGAGGTTTTATTGCATATTGAAGAGTATAAGCAAGAAGAAAGAAGAACTAAAAACTCCATTTGGGCACAAGGTAATTAAATATGATATATTAGTAGAGATTTAATGCTATTTATCAGTTTAAACACTTTTCAGGCTTCAGTGAATCTACAGTGAATTTGATAGATGTGGTCATAATCTTTTCCCATTTGTGCTTAAGACATATGGGGCATATAAAGTAGAGTTCATTTGTTTAATTGACCTTGGCATACAAGTCATCACTATGCCCAACTGCTTTTGTTTGCCTGATGTGAATCAGGTACCCATCAGAGCTGGATGGACTCAGTGATGTAATACATACTCAAGCCTGGAATCTGACATTGAGACTTTCGGGTTAGCAGTCATAAGATACCATGGGTAATTCTGTGGAATTCTTTTTGCGCAGCTTAGAAACAGCCCAACCTTCAAATGTCCAATAAGTTCCTTAAAGATACTTATTAAAATATAAATTTCTTAATAAAGATGCCACTTTAAAACATGTAAATCTACAACTTATAAAATGTAGATTCTTTGTATTCTTGCACTTACTAAAATATCATAACATTATAATTTAGAATGGAAATTTTAAAGTTTACATTTTAAAGTTAATTTGTCTAATCTTATAGTGATTGATTTTATTCATCAATGTTGTTATTCTTTTTTAATTAATAATATCTGTAACAAAAAAAAAATAACTGAAAGTAACTTATATACTTTCAAATATAACCATTTTTATTAATGTAGGTCTTCTACAAAGCTCATCAGCTGCTGACAAATTTTTGATAATATATGAATTTGAAGCACTCACAAAATTAAATGATCCAAAAGCAGAGTCTGTGTTAGAAAGAGCATTGCTGTGTCCTAATCCAGATCCAAAGCTTTTCCACACTCTTGCAGGTCATCTAAAACATTATAAGTTACTTTGTGATTTGAATTTGTATGCACTATGATACTCCAGCTTAAATAGATATGTTGTTCAATATCTGTTTACACTAATGAATAAACTTGAGTGAGGACTGAATTTTTAACTGTAAATATAAGCTGAATGTTCAGGCCTCTTATTTTAGCCCTTGCAATGGATTCTCCTGCCAATAATATCAAGCTGTGTGTGAAAGCTCTCAAGGTTTCTATCAGAATGCACCTTACTTCAGAAAAGCCTGATTACTCAAAATGTAGGTAAGGAAATCAATTTTATTGATATGCATTTGCTTGTAACTGAACAGAATTTTTATTAATATGACCTATAAGAGTTTTTGTAAAATTTAAAACTTTCATATTGCACTAAGCTTTTAATATTTATTTATAGTGCAGATTTACGCAGCCTTATTGAACTGGCAATGAAAGAAAATGAAGAAGAGGCATTAACTTATTTAAAAGAAACGTTTGATGTTATAGAAAAAGCTAAGGTACTGAATGTAACAGTAATGATTGATATGTAAGAAAATATTTTTAAAAATCTTTTACTTTTAAAAATGAAATGCATTACAAAAATCTTGTTTTATCTCAACTACATCTTGATGATCAATAAGGTCTCTTAAGTTTCTCTTGCCTTTTGTTTTCTTCAGTATCATTTTTAACTATTTCTAAAAATATCCTCAGGGTTGTTATCCTGAAATAGAAATAGTATGGCTGATGACAAAGTCATGGAATTATGGATTACAGTATTACAAGTTAGTATAACACTGTGTGGTATCAGTAAACAAGTAATCTATAGTCTTCCTCTTAAAACACTTACAAAATACCTCACTGATGTATATTATATGTGATTGTAAGTCAATATGATCTAAAAATCTGTTTCAGCTGTTGCAAATTTACTGAGGCGGAACAGTGGTGCAGTTTAAGTGTAAGACTTTTGAAATATTTATCATCCACAAAAGAGGAATATGAGGAACAGGTAAGAAAATACAATTTTTTTTCCAAAATACAGTCTACTTCTGACTAGACGTAAAAAAAAACCTTACACTTCATTTAAAATACATGCCTACTTATTTTCTCTCCTATTTGTCAGTTTAGAAAATATATAAAAAATTAAGTAAGTTAAATTAAATAAAAATCACATTTTTAATTTTTTTATTGATCTTATTGTTTATATTATTTGATAACTTTTTTTTTCAATTGAAAATATGCATGTGCCATCCCCATAACTGTTTTAATTTAAATCTAAAAACAATTGTTCAAATTAACTTCCACTATCATAACAAATGGGGGTGACCAATTTATCCTCTACGCTCTGCATTATATGTGAATATGTGGTAGTTATAAACTTGCTGTTTTAATTTTGTAAATTACAAATGACATTGTATTAGTAGTTTGTAACTCAGCTCACTTAAAGTATGTGATTGGTCTCCATTTATGTCTGCCCATCACATCTTCTAGATCTCCATACTATAAGCCATTAGGTGATATTTTAGGGGCAAATATCCTATTTTAGATGATGTCACTGTATGGTGAACTTCTAACTCGACTTGAAAGCCATTCTGGAGGAGTCGAAGAATAAATCCAAGTATCTTTCCTTGTCTTATTAAAAAAAAATTGTTTTTAGTTAAATTACAATTTAAATTGTTAAAAAAATAAATAAAGAATTTGATTATTTTCAATGGATTTTTTATGATTTTTTAAAATTGAGTATTTGTAATATACCAGGTTTAAAAATAATTCACTTCCCAAAATATTTACATTAAACTGTGGCAGTTATTATATACATGTGAAAATTAGATAGTCCTACCTCGATAACACAATCGGACATAATTCTTGTTTTTTTCTAAGGGAAGATAATTATACTTTGCTCAATGTATTTTATTATTCCCAAGTTACGTCCCTTATATCGACTATTTGACTAACATTTTGGGTACATCATAGGTTCGGTTAAACTGTCTACGAAATTTTGTACCCTTTTAAAAATACCTGAAAGTAAATTATTTAATGACACCGTTTAGAGTTTTTCCCTATTCATAAAAGCCTATTATCTGTTGATTAACTTCAGTTTGCTCCTTGGTAATAGGACACCAATTTAATTTTTAAATCAATTACAGTCCCACGATCCCACGGCTGCTACATGAACAAGCTCAGTTACAGTTTTTTACTCAACATCCCTTATTGTGTTTCTTCTCCCTCTGGGGGAATGCCGTATTAGCATCTTAGATAATAATTATTTAATCTTCATGGCGCCGTGTTAAAGTTAAGAGAAAGCTGTTACGGTTATCAAGCTTTTGTGAAGCAGGATGTTGGCTATAAATGTCACTGTACGTTTTAAAATTACATGTTAATCCCCATTGACTGGGACCTATTTACGTGTCGACACTTCTTTTGTGATACGTCACAATTGAAATTAGAAACAGCGAATGACAATAGGGCTTTTGTTAACTATTCGCCTGTTCCCCCACTCATCGAGTTGGGTAATACAAAAATATTTCCTCTCCTTCTAACCAAATAGATGGCAGGTTGAATTAGTTTGTATAGTCATTGAGTCGTACTCATTCTCGTGTAATAAATCTATTCACTTGCACCGAACGGGCGCTCCTCTATTGTTAATGTTACCGAGCCCCCCGCGGCGGACAGCGTAAGCCGCTTTGTCACGTCGCCATTGTTACAGTACTAAAACAATCAAGCCTTTGTCTCTATCTTGTGGATGTTATACTTCAACTCAACTGTTTGGAACAACAGCAATTCGACATCCTCCGATAAATATCGCGATCTTATCTTCTCTATTAACTATTTAAAATCCCTGTTCATTCCGACTACAGTTTATTCTCTTGCTTTTAAAATGTGCTTGATAGGCGAATACTTTGTATTGCCTTTCTTTTTAACAACAACAAAAAAAAGCGATTTGTAACTGGTGCGAAGCATTCAAGAACAGGGAAGAAAATATTTAAATTTGATACTTTTACTATGTCTAAATGGTGTAGGCATTAGTAGTCTCGAAAGATAAGACATCATGCTGCAATTTTAATGTTAAGAATTTAAAAAAAAAAATCTTCTGGCTCGATGGTTTAGTGAGACAGACGAAGAAAAGTTCACTACGTTTCCAATGCCGATATCATTTGTCCAGCACAAAGCCTCTCGCCTAGTTTACTTACGCCTGTTATGTGTCATATGTCCAGTGTGTGGATTCAATGATGAACTCGTGTCTACATGCATCATTCTAACTCTAATCCTTAGGGGTTATGCAATGTCTGCTCCTAGTATATCACAACGATGCCTAGAACTTCTAGAAGTTATCCACGAAATGCGACAAAAGTTTAATTAAACAAGAACAATATTCTTAAAAACTCAAATAGTTTGTTATTCGGCAGTGCAACGTTTATACTTTTAGTTTTCGCTAAATGGGATTTTTTTTTTATTTCCACTTTCTATTGACATTTAAGAAAAAAAATCATTTGATTATTTTTGACCTTTTGTAGTAAAATTATTAAACAGTTGTGCTTGAAGAGGTAGTCTAAAGTTGTTTTTAAATAATGGAATACTTCTACTCCCAGAGGGTTTCTTAATATGCAATAAAAAAAAAATTTCCCCTCTTAAAAACTTTTTGAACATGATACACGCACAGGAACTTTGTAGCTGTTGGAGTTTTTCCTGGTGAATAGGTTTGTCCCGGTCGCGTACCTAAATAAAGGCCCCTGGCTATACCGTTTCACCTGATACGGATACTCAATACCCCACTTCCACCCTTGACACCATTGTTATCGTTGACAACCAGAATTCAGGCTAACCCCGTCACGGTCCAGTGCCGAAATCTTTGACGGGGGTAGGCGCGTCCTTGTTTTCTTCACAAGCTGCTATATAGGGCTAATTCTTTTTTACGCGAATTCTGCCTGGCCTCTAATCTCAGGATTCGCATCTAGGTGATTTTCCGCTAGTCGTTGTGCTGGAATTTGTCCCATGCTTTGATGTTTTGCGTGTTGTGTTTTTTTTTTTTTTAAAAACTAGGTTGGCTAAGGTATTACACCACCCCACGCAAATCCTGCAGTTTTTTTTTTGTAACTGACTAGAAAAGCTATGTAAAAAAATTCTAACATTTTTTATAAAGCGTGTACATTCTGTACCCACTACACAAAGAAAACCTTGCGAAAGAATTACAATTTGTAGCTGCCTTATAAAGCAAAGCATGAGAAAACGAATAATCTAGTACGTGTACCCATCTCACAAAGAAAACCATATAAGCAGTGGCCTAGCTACGATGGGACTGAAAAGTTTGTATTATATTCTGCATGCAATAGCTTGTAACATTTGGTAACCGCGTGAGAAAGCTGAGTAGAAACGTATAACGTTTGAAACAGTCACACAAGGAAATCCCTAACATGACACGAGCTATTGTCCATTCATACCTTATACCATAAAGCAACCGGTTTACAGTTCGTGTGTCACCATACGTTACGTGAACGGACACATAACAATACCTAGTATTGTTTAAAATTATTACAATTGTGTAATAGAACTGAGCCTATACAATGTGGTAATAAGAATTTTTTTTATTCTCATGTACAAATAGTGAATTTTGTGTTTCCCCTATTCAATGCCCCATCCTCCTTCATCCCCGCCACTGTAAACACTACATATTAAGCATGCGTTAACTCACTGAAACAGTTTTAAAATCCTTAGACATTTGTGATGTGCTCACAGTCTATTGTATCCCCATTGATATTCTTTCTGTTAGTAACAATGAAAACAGCTCCGATCCCACAGACATATACCACGCTACCGTGTCTGAAGAAGAAAAAAATCATTTAAGACTAGATTATCAATAGGGCAGATACTTAATAAACACCATCCCTGTATATAGGCCCCTTTCTAGTAGTCTCCTCAGGGATAATCTAACACTATATACAGACTCCTGATTTTTTTAAATACTGATATTCGATATGCCATTATCGCTATCGTTCAACCACATCGCTCCTGTGTCCATGAACTGCTATAAATATTTTCATAGAATTTCGTTTGAGAAAAACTAACTTGTAGCAGTGAAATTAATTTATTAATAGTTACCTGTATGGTTATTAAGCATTTACTTTATAAAAAAAAAGAACATAATTGCTTGCTTCATAAGTAGCCACCAGCCACCGCGTGATCTTTCCAACCAAATTGAATGTAACTCGCTCATACGATACCCTGTTTATATGAGTTTTCAGACCATCATATGTCATGTTGGTTTCATTCTAGCTCTAGTGCGTGTTAATGGTGATCCTTTGTAGTTTTCTAAAAGTGTGTCGTATCCACTCCCGTTGTGAAGCTTCTTTCTGAATAATAATGTGTTTTATGTAAGCATAACATAACACAGTGTCTAAAAACAAGTGTTTAAAGGTTTTGACTTCATGTCTCAACTGGAGATTGTTATGAGGCATGTAGACACAATCGAATTAGGCTCTAATAAGTATAGCTATAAGAGAAAAGTTGTCTTGGCTAAATTAAATTGAAATCTTGTACAACGCTTAATGTGTAGCAAAGCGTTCACATATCTTTACCTTCTCAAGCATATGTTGCGCCGCCCCGCCCCCCCCCCCCCAAAAAAAACAAAAAAACAAACAACATATTTAAAATATTAATAAAAAGGCACTAGCCAAACTATAATAATTAGGCAAACGGCTTGATCGATAACAGGTATGCTGATTGTTTATTAGCAGGCCAAAAGGTGTAGGCCTATTTGTAGCCGTGTGTTTGAGTCTTTTGGCTTAAAGTAAATTACCGTTTTAATAAAAACATACCTTGTCTACAAATAAACATTTAAACAAGTATAAAGTTATCATATAACATGCCCCTGTGTCGCATAGGCAAAGTTGAGTTTGTTTACTTTGAAGATTGTTAAGCCGAGACCTGCTTTGTGTAGGGTAGTCCTTAAAACTTACCACTGCATTTCTTGGCAATAAATTAATTTCGGTAAATAAGTTTTGTAGAGAGGAAGACATAACATGCTTAAAATGGAAACGGTGCAATTTTTGAGCCGTATAATTATGAGCATTTTATTCAGACCGATGTTGGTTATATTGTCAAATGGATCATTTGCAAGAAGATCAAATCTCGAATTTATAGCTGTAGGGTAGTTAAACGCACATTCGCTCAGTGGCAACGCATATGAAAGAAGCCCTATTTAAAAGCACTTTGTTCCATACTATGGACGTTTTAGTTCTGGTTTGTTGCAGGTGAATGTTTTCACTGGTGCAGACGCCGATTTCACACAGAGGGCTTAAGGTTGTGTGAAAGAAAGCAGGACATTGAATGAAAGAAAAAAAGGTGTATTTTGTAGCAAGCCCATGCCTTAGTTCAGGTTTGGCAGCCCAGAAGTCTCAGAGGACTTTTTCTTGAGTTTCCGCATTGCTTTGGTTTCTTTAGGTGTTTGGGGGGACACTGGTTTCTGAATTTGTTTGGATATTGTTCTCACAATTATATCAATCACATCAAGTGCCATTCAGATTAGACCTTTGCATACTGTTGGTGAAAAGGCCGTCGGGGACCAAAAAAACTGGGGAATGAATAGCACCATTATTACTTTCCCGTCTGGTTAAGGCCCGGTGGGAAATGGACACCGCTATTTGATTGACAAGCAAACGAGAATGATTGATGCGTACTCCCACTGCGCGGGTAATCAAGGCGAAGGGAGGAGCGAGGGAAATAGCGGCCAGCCGATTGGACGCGGTGCGTGTGAACGGGACTAGACCTCGCGAGAGTTTGAATGTTTTGTACGCGAGAACCAAAACACTACCACCAGTTTCGTGATTACCCGGCACAAAGCAAGAGGGGTCTGAAACGTTGCTTGTGCCAGTGACTGTATTTCTTCTCCAGCCCACGATTTATCAACAACGTGAGAGCTGTAGAAAACTGGATAAACTTTTAGTTGTATTTACACCAAGTGTATGTGAATTCGGTACTTCTGTGCTAGTGATTATTGAACAAGTTTCAATACGCGATGGAAAGTGATTGTGATAACACAACGACGGCCGAAGTGTGTTTCGATAATGCGGTAACTCAGCTGCACTTGTTGTGTAGGATGTGCACATTGTGTTGATATCTGATTTCTGACTGCTCACATAGTGATGTCAGGTAGCTCACGTTTTTCTCATCATCAATGTAGAAATGATCTTATAAACATCAAGTTTTGCTACAACTCTTTGTCTGAAAACAACGCGCCTAATAGAATCTAGATATAGTTCTTACTATTAAAACACACAGCTACATTACAATGGCTCTACGTGTTTGTTGCGTAACTCGCAACCACCAGATGCACAGTAAGCACATACTTGTTATATCACTGCTCATATTTTTATCTGTATTTAACTTCACTCATTCGTCCGAGTCGGTTCGGACGTGTGAGCCTATCCGGTCCATCATCTGCCAGGGCTTAGGTTACAATGTTACGGGTATGCCCAACTTAGTCGACCACAACCACCAAGAGGATGCGATACTGTTGCTCCAGACTTTCACGCCGTTGATTCAGTACGGCTGTTCGAGCCGTTTGAGGTTCTTCTTGTGTTCCGTCTACGTCCCCATGTGCACGGAGAAAGTCCTGCACACCATCGGCCCCTGCAGGCCGTTATGTGAGAGCGTCCGCGACCGTTGTCAGCCGGTTCTTCATGAATTCGGGTATCCTTGGCCTGACGCTTTGAACTGCTCAAAGTTTCCTGTTGAAAACAACCACGAACACATGTGCATGGAGGGACCTAATGACGAACAAGACACCCACACAGTTCCACCCTACCGTCGGCCCAATCGCCCGGAACCAACCACCGAGCCATTTCCAAAACCGCCTTCTATTGCGGGAAATCCATCATCGAATAGCGGCAACACTAAACCCTTTGATAATCCTAAACAGAACTACAAGCCTTGTGTACATCTAGGGTACAGAAACCCCACGAAGTATACCTACATCAACAGAACGGACCGCTGCGCTCTTCTCTGCAAGGAGAACGACGCATTCACAGATGACAACAAATACTTCGCCAATGTGTGGATGGCCGTTTGGGCCGGTCTTTGCTTCCTCTCCACTCTCTTCACTATTCTAACGTTTCTCATTGATTCCCAGCGATTCCGGTACCCGGAGCGTCCGATCATTCTGATGGCAATGTGCTACAACATTTACAGCATCGCGTACATCGTTCGCCTCATCGCAGGCCGGGACGACATCGCTTGCGACAACGAAAGCCAAAGCAGCCAAAGCATTCTCATCCAAGAGGGTCTTGAGAACACAGACTGTGCTATTGTTTTCTTGTTGCTGTACTTCTTCGGCACTGCCAGCGCTCTGTGGTGGGTAGTACTCACCTTCACGTGGTTCCTGGCGGCGGGGCTTAAATGGAGCCACGAGGCCATTCAAGTACACAGCAGTTATTTCCATCTTGCTGCTTGGGCCCTTCCCGCCATCCAAACAATCGTCATACTGGTCATGAGAGACGTCGACGCCGATGAACTCACCGGAATTTGCTACGTCGGCAACCAAAACACCACCACTCTCATGGGATTCGCCATAGCGCCCCTTCTCGTCTACCTCGTAGTCGGGGTGTCTTTCCTAGTCGCCGGTTTTATTTCCCTTTTCCGTTCCGTCAAGAAATCCACCCGCTCCTCGGACAAAACCACGGCCAGTAACAGCAGTGCGACCCCCGGGAGAGAGGACAAGATCGAGGCTTTGATGGTGAGGATCGGGATTTTTTCAGTATTGTACACAGTGCCGGCCGCGTGTGTGATAGGCTGTCTACTGTACGAGTATTCGTCCAGGGAGGACTGGTATTCCATCCGATCGAAATCCTCGCCCAACATTGAAATCTACATGCTCAAACTGTTCATGTCACTGGTGGTCGGCATCACCAGCGGCATCTGGGTCTGGTCCACCAAGACCCTGGGCTCGTGGAGGACTCAGATCAAAAAAGTGTTCGGTCCTAGAAGAGACAGGAAAAGTATTGAGTACACTGTACCGGTGCATCAGTACCACCAGGTGCCCGCCAAGGCCGGAAGTGCGTCTTCATCCAGGGCTATCAGGTCAGAGAAATCAAAACGAGGGAAATCAGACAGTGAAACTATTGTGTAAAATATTTAACGTTGTAAGTTTGTGATGTCTTTTTTTTATTTTTGTAGATAATGTATTTAATGTATTTTTTTCACAACTATTCAGGGAACTCGTTGTACAGATGGCTTGATATTTAAATAGTAGAAACAGAAAACCCCAACTCGCTGATATTTAGTGGGTTTTTGTATTCTAAAATTAAACGTAGGTCTAAAATTAGTTGTGTTCAGAAGCGGCAGGTCGTAGCCTCCTACTTTTAAACCCATAAAAATTACACCACTGCAGAATCGGCCCGAGACGCGTAATGGCACGTAATACCCGTAGCGTCTAACACACCGGGTATTGTACGCATTGTTCGTGTGTTCCCCCAGACATTCAGCCAGGAAAGATAATCGTGTTTTATGGCTTACCTCCGTGTTGTTATTGGACCACCTTTTGCACTCCCTGACACACTTAGGTAAAACCGCTTTTTTTCCTCCCTCTCTTCTTCATGCTACTAAATCGACCGGGTTTTAATTCTTTTTTGTTTTAAATCGGTAAACTGTATTAAACATTTGGCGTGACTGTAAGCTATTGAACATAATTTCACCCAACACACCTGTCTCCCCTTTCCTCCCACCACCCGCCCTCCTTCTCCGTAAACTAACTCACCTCGTAAAGATTTCCCCTCCGTTGCTATTCGACCTCTCCCATCGCCTTATTATCTCCCATCTATAAAACAACACAAAGCCAAACTGCTCTCTCGCCCCTTACTAGGTCGGCCCCGTCTGGCATGTTTATTTTGGAAGATCGTCAAGGCGAGCGATTCATCAAACTCCTAAGGCATAATGTTATCAGGCGGCAGACTTTTTGCCTTCTCGTATTTCCTCTCCTAGATCTAGATATAAACCCATGTGGCTGGCTTTTTATAGGGAGTATAAATACATTATCAGACACTTCTTAAACTACTGTAGTTCTTAACGAGAACAGTTCTGGTAATGAATGGGTTATTAGTCTTAAGTTTACTTTTAAGTGGAGAAACCATCCCCCCCCCCCATTCCCTCCACCCCCAACCTTATACATAAATCATTATTCAGATTTCATTTCTACAGATTTCATTGCTTAAGAATTAGCTACACTCAGCGTACTAGGGGCAGCTGTTTATCTCTGTTAATCCAATCCAACCTCACCTCCCTCGGTCCTGATGCTTGTTAAGAATTGCCATGATTTTATTGCCCAGTGGGAAATAGTGTTACGGCTTATGACTAGTTGTACTAATTACTATTGATCCCCATCCCGGGTTATTTGTGGTAGCACTCGGTGGTGAAATCGCTGCAGCTAGGTTGGTGATCTTTGTTGACGTAATCGTCCCGTAATGGTATACGTTGTTGTTGAGTCACCTGATCTACCGTAGTACACAACACTTCAGGAAACAACCATCATAGTATTGAATGACGGTATCTAAAAACATAGATAAGTTATATTAAGTTTAGTGCATACGAAATTTCATTCTTAAATTTAAACTGAAACAGTTTACGTTTTTTTAATGCGTTAAGTTTAAAATAAAAAAATAAAAGGAAACATAGGGAGGGGTGGGGTTCTTTTTTTAGCATTACAAATCCAGTTAAGAATTCGTATAGCAAGCCAGGCATGTACGCTGGTGAACTGAGTTATCATAAATCACCCGTCTGTCAGAGAGGGCAGAAGAGAGATTCGTTACCCAGAATGCTTTCTGTTTTTTTACCCCCCTCCTCTCTCCCTGCAACAATCACAAACTATCTACTGTGTTCGCGATAAGAATGTCAAACTCTTGTGCCTTCTGGGTTTTAAGGCTGACTTTTATTCCCGAGTCTTGCTTGATTTCAGGTCTTTTTACCCGTTTTCTTATTTTGCTTTCGCAAGATAGACATGCTCTTTATATGTGTTGGACACCGTACACACTCCAAGACACCGGTATATATATATATATATATATATATATATATATATATATATATATATATATATATATATATATATATATATGTGTGTGTGTTTATTTTTAGCATACATAGACGAGCATCATGTTATACGTCTATATCTTATACTCGGGATATTTTTATCCCCAACGAAATCTCTAAAGCTCCACATCTTCCTGCACAACAGACAAACGAAAAGAAGGAAAATATCTATCAGCTGTATGTTATCTTCAGTAACCTTTACCTGCTTCTACATATTCGTCCTTAGTTTCTTTCATTCCTCCACAGCCTATCTTGTCTTTTATTCACAACTGTTGGTCATATTTGTTTTACAGTTCGTTGTTTTCTTTTTTTTTTTTTTGGGGGGGGGGGGGGGGGTTCTTTTTTTTTAAATGGCTTCTTTTTTCCAGATTCACCCCAACTGTATGTTAAAGTTAAAGGGAGATAGTATTATGATGGTTTATTTCAGTGTGACATTGATGTAATACGTCTGGTCGCGGGTTACATCCCTGTGCCTTCTCTCTCACCAGGGAGCGAGGTGCGTTTGGCATTATTTGGAAGGTAGAGGGGGGAGAAGAAAAAAATATGACATGCCAGGCTCACATTTTTTAAAGAGGGTAAAAAAAACTCAACCTCGCGGAGGGGGTGAGGCGGTGGAAGTCCAGATTAGAGTTAGAAAAGTATTGTGCAGCATTACGGTTCTTGGCTTGGCCAGATGTATAGAAAATGATTTTACAGGCGCGAGGCGAAACGTCTAACCTTTTCATTATAGTGGAACCACCAATGCGTGTTATTCGAAGGCGTAAGCACTATATGAACCTCACACTTCTGTAAAAAAGAAAAAAATCTTTTGTAAACAAAACGCTAGTTTTTCTTCCAGCAAAATTCTGACGAATACCTCCCCCCACCCACCCCTCTATACATACTTCAACAGAGGTATGCACTAGAAGCAATGACGAATTCGTTGAAGCTTATTGGCAGTAGATTCGGCGTGCTATTTCTCTCTAATGTAAATACGTTTACCAATGCTACGCTGGCTATAAATATCGACTCGAGAAAGCCTTATTGAATATTGGGTTGTTTTTTTTTCTCCCCTTCTCTGCTCTTAGTCAAACGGTGGGTTTAAGCATCCATTCTTTCCATGTTCTGTCCGCGTTACTAATATTGACATTCATTGACATAACGGGTTATTTCCCCTCCCTCCTGTCCCACTCTCCCTCCCCTCTCCCCCCCACGGGTCGATGGTGAGAAATCCGCTTATCACACAACGGTTACACAACTGATAGCCGCGGTGTAGGGGCCGCAGTGGGACGTTGGGCCATGTTTGAGATCGCTATGCGAGCCTGATCGTTTCCTAACTATATTTTACAAGTAAAATCGATACCGTTCGGAATAGCTGTGCAAAGTACTTAGTCGCATTACGTCGTCCAAATCCTGCACTGCTCGACACGTTAGGATAAAGGTGTGTGTGTGGGGGGGGGGGGGGGGTTGTATATGTGTAGGGAGGGGGAGGGAGGGGGGGGGGGGTTTATATTTAGTCTTCGAAGAAATATACAACTTACTTTTTTTCCCCCCATTCATCGTCTTGGTTCAGTCATTTCGTCATCCTTGCCGAAGAAAAAATCAATGCCTTTGTCTTATTTTTCCCCCATCAGAACCGGTATATTATGAAACCATTTCTGGCACAGCAGAAGCTACAGTAATTTTAAATAGCTCAGTCATTCACACTGCGATCCTGATTCCAGTTGGCGATCGATCATAACTTATAGGCGTGCGTTATTTAGTGAGGTAGGCTTACTCGAAATACAATGACTGAATTGCTCGTAACTTTTCTTAGATAGATTTTTTTTAGATAGATTTTTTTAATTCGCTCCACTCATTAGATTAGATGGCTTATAGCTTATATAACGAAATTAGATAACTTTAAATTCTTTGACGAATTATTTGCAGAACACACACACACACACACACACACAACTGAACAAAACAGCAGTCTCCACTGACTTTCACAAACAGGTGTCCTATGCTAATTGTATCATCGTTGTCCATTCATTTTTTCTATATTAATTTAAGCTAGCTTTCGACCATCATCTAATTACATATGTACAGTTTATCTAAGGGATTAACATAATTTATAGCCATAACTAACTTAATTCCATGGGGTATTCAACATGTTATTTATGTTTATTTAGCCAACTATTTTAGACAGGAACGAGCTTAATTAATAGTTCCTCTAAATTACACGGGGATCTAACCTTTGAACCTATAAACGAGAAAGAAAAAAGAAACAGAAACAACCTGGCAACAATTATACTATAAAGCATCGGGCTTGGACAGGTACACAGGCCTAGTCTCCTGTTAAATTTAAGGAAAGCCTAGCCAACTTCCCCCAGCACGCCAGTCTCTCTGATAATGCTGGTAGATTTGTAGTGGCCGTGGCCCTTGCGCGCTGTTGCGGGACTTCCCGCTGCTGTTTTATGGATCTTTCAGTTGAAGGGAGAAATGTTTTCCCAAACATGTCTTGATTTCCTGTATTTCGCGTTATGTATGGCCGGAGACGCAACATTGTGGAAGGAGGGACTTAATCCTACTTGGCTTACACATATATTCTATTCGTGCAAAAAAAAAAAATGTGTGTGTTAGCTTCCTTAGCTTGTGGTGTCAGTAAAAAAAATAAGATAAAGTTACCCCACTCCCCTCCCCCAAGGATTTAAATTTAATCTAGTGGCATATATTTTTTAAAGGATACAATTATTTTTATAGCTTAAATATAGCCATGCCATAGACTTGTTTATGGCAGGGCATAAGAAAAGGTCAGTCAGGCGGTTTACATGGGTCGGCTGGCAAAAAAACATATTAGAGTAACTTCACGCAGGCCAACCACACGACACGCCGGGTTCACTGCTACTACTCCAACCTTCCCCACCCCCTACACATCGATTCCGTCCCTTTATTTGAGCACCACAACTGTGCATCATGTTAGAACGAATGTTTCTGTGTGTGAGTTGTTTTCCTGGGACTAAACACGGAATGGTCTCCCCTGCATGGCTTCTCCTGCTAGGCCTCCCTCCACTCCTTCCCCCCAGCTTCAGCAGTTTTTTCCCCCTGATTGTTAGATTAGGCGGCGCACTCGACTTCCTGTTATCGGCCAACGTTTTATTAGAGCTTCTCACAATATAGGAAGTTTATTCCTTAATTGTAGGTTTCTTCCACACGCGGGAGTTTTTTTTTATGGAGGGTGAACGCATGTGATTGTCATTGGTCACGCTTCGTGAGTTTGTCTCCCGTAAAAAATGTCAAGCTTTTTTTTTTGTGATGGAGGGAGGAGGGTGTTTTTTATCACTCCCTATATCACAACTTAGTACTCACCCTTCCTATTATTATTATCTGCCATTTTAAAAAAAGAAAAAAAAAACAAAAGCGTTGATCTATCAAAACAGCCCCTATTTCGAAACCAGCTGATAAATGAGTATGTATTATTCGGTTAGTCAAAAAACCAATAGACCAAACAGCAGTTCATAGTGATCGCCTTAAACGGACGAATATTAATCGTTTTATTCCCCTTTTCCTCATCGAAAAATCATTTAAATTAGCTACCTTATGCATTTTTTTTCTCTTTAGATATCGTATAAGCCTACATGCATTATACGGGAAGACAAATACAATTTAACTTAAACGGAGCATAACACATTGTTATATTTTAAAGCACACAGCGATTAACAAAGGAAAAAATATCTACCCCAATCCAGCAGTAAAAAAAACCCAAACTGCTCTGCAACGCAGGTGTTTCTAAGCCTGGGTTAATGCACAGTTTTATTATCAATGATTAAACGTGGCGTTTTAATCTACCTTTGCTGTGTTGCCGGCGTTTGTTTATCCCTGTTTGCTAAACCGTGTACCGGTCGATTTCTCTTTGGGGCCTTTTTTTTATTATTATCAACGTTTAGAGTGTTAGATTTGAACATAGGTTAGAGTAGGTCCGAATTGTTGACCTTTGCCTGGGTCCTCGTGGCAGCACACCGTTGGGAGGCCACCAGGTGTACACACATTGGGGAAACTCGTTTCCGTGGTAAGACAAGACTTCCTTGTATTGCAGTACCCCCCCCCCCCCCCACACACACACCCTCCATATGTATTGCATTAACCACCCCTCCCCCGCCACACACACTACTTCTGAAAAGCTGTAATTCCCTTCAACGCCTTCCTGTCATATTGAATCCCCAGTTTCAATGCCCCACACCCACCTTCAATATTATAACAAACCACTTTTTTCAATCAATATCGTAACAAACCTATCCTCTTTCAATATCGTAATAATCCACGTCTTTTATTCAATATTGCGTTAACCCTTTCTCATCCCACCACAGTCACCCCCGCCCACAGGTGTTTCCGTCTTCCAAGATGCAGACACACACCCTCCTTCACCAACTCACGTCTTCCAATATGCAGTCAGCACAACCCATACTTACTCACATGCATCGCCGTCTCTTTTGTTTACATTTGGGTGATTGTATGTCAACAATATTCTAGTCATCCCTGCCAAAACACAAACCACCTATTTCACTCTTTGAGCAGTGTTTTTTAATACAGATTTTAACATAAAAAGAATTCTTATCAATTGTAGTTTTGGAATAAATCATTTTTCAAACTAAAATTAATATCTCTTACAATTATAAAACAATTTATTTTCTAAGGACCAGTATGAAAATACGATTAAAAAAATATCTCCCACAGTCCCGTAGTCTGAGGTAATTAATTACTTAATTTTAAATGTAGGCTAGAACAACTTCAGCTTCGTTTTACCTTCTTCACGGTGAAAGCAATTTAACACACCTGTGCCATTTTTTTCAATTACACATTTAAAAAATTCTGCATCTCTCCTTCACTCACGCACACCCGCTTAAAATAATCAGCATATTTAATTCAAACCATCAAGCTCCTTTTCCTACACACACTAAAAAAAAAAAAGACGAGAACGTACTGTACTCCTTT